CCCCAAAACCCCAAAACCCCTTATAGGATTTAATCTAAAAGTATCTTTTGAAGATTAATTTAATCACTACAGTTTTATATAAGCTTGAAGCTATATCTTTAATAATAATTAAAATCTTTAAACATCAAATGAGTATCTTTGACAGAAGAAGATCATAAAATTAGGAAAGAAAGCGATCATCCTCAAAAGACTCACTCGATCAAATTAAAATTGTTAAGAATCATAAAGAGAGCACAAACTCCTCAAAGACAAAGCAAAAATAAGAGAGAAAAATAACGGAAGAGGAAAAAAAATCCACTCAAAGCGCCTCGAAGCAAGACAAAAAATAAGTGTCATCTTCACCATTAAATAAATCAGAATCAAGTTCAGCAAGGCAGAGAAAAACGTATAGGGAATACATAGAGGATCATTTCGATGAGCTATTTAAGAAGAAAGCTCCATTCAAAAAGAAGAAATCTTCAGCAGCAAAAAAGAGTGGTAAAGACCGAAATAGCCATCATAGCAGTCACAAATATAGTCATCGCAATCGAGATGACACTTACGACAAAGATCATCATCATAAATCCAATCATGCCTCTTCAATAAGTCACAGATCTAAAAAGATATCTGGAAGAAGAGATTAACATCATAAGAGTAAGCAATCAAAGGAGACACACAACAAAAAGCAGGTAAGCTAGAGAGATGAAAAGTCGTAGAAAGATCGTAAATAAGAGAAGAGTTTTAAGGAGAAGTAAAGAGAACAAGATTTACTCAATAATACTAAGGCATAGAAGATTATCGAAGAGATGAAGAACCAAAGTGCTTAAGATAAGGAGATGATAGATTTAGATTCATCTCCAGCTGTATAGAAAATCCAACAGCATGAAAACTTTGAGGTAAAGTACTAGGAAAAAATAAAATCTATTCCAAAGATATTAAGATCATGGCCATAAGACCCTAAAAAGGACGGATTCTCTTTGAATTCAAATGAGTATATTCCAAACTTGGAAGTCTTTGACTTTGCTTAAGTCGACTTGATTAACAGAGTGGTTTCAATGTGCCAAGGCTGGTCTGCTTTAATTACTGAAAATGATGTTACAATGCTTGGACCTGACTTTAGAACATTCACAACTTATGACTCTTCTAATATTATTTCTGTGTAGGAATGCTCGGAGCGCAATGAAAAGCAAGGTAAACAGCACTTGGTTGCTTTTATTTAGCCTAAAATAATTGAAGTGTTTAAGTGCAAAGGCTATCGTTACAACTATATGACTTAGCATTACAAGATATTCATTGATACATTCTGGATTAATCTAGTCCAGGTTTTCAACAACAAGTTTGAATTTGCTTTTGTGAGTTAGCTTCAACAGCAAAAGATTCAAATCTTTAATTGGAAAGATTTCAAGATTCCTCATTAGAAAGTGTATATGCTAGAAATGAGTGAGAGATCAGGTTAGCTGAAAGATAATGCTATAGCTGATTTGAAGTACTCAGACAAGATGCTGATTGCAATGACTTAAAGAAACTACTTTTATTTCTACCTGAAAATTGATAAGCAAAGTTTTGACGTTGAACTGCAGTATAAGATCAGGATAACTAATTTCTAGGCTGAAAATGTGAGAATGAACATTCAAGACATAAGAATACTTTATTAGAAAGTCATAATTATTCTGAACACAAATGATTCTTACTTATATCAATTCAAGATCATCTATGATGAGGATGGTAATGCCAAGAAAGTTCAATATATTAACAAACTACTCTACTCTATATATGAATTGCATGAGGAAGAGGGCTAAATATCGCAATATAATGACGGTTCATTAGATTTGACAAGGTAAATGTAGAAAGTGTGCTTAAGCGATGAGGTAACTGATCTGAATCCTAAAAGATTCATTATTGATTCGTATCTCTCTCTTATTGTTATTTATGATAGTACTGACATTTACATTACTAGTTTTGAGGCTTTTGGTAAAGGTATTATTAATAAATATAACGTAGGCTATGCTTAATGTAAATCAAATATGATTACACTGCTAAGAGATACAGATAAAATGAGATTACTATTTGGACATGAAGGAGGTATGATTTTAAACTGGAATATTTTATTATGACCATATTATCATTAAAATAAAAATATATAATTTGATTTCAGTATATTACAATTTAGAGAATGGGGTTTTGGGGTTTTGGGGTTTTGGGG